CCAGAGGAGGGACAGTGGTTTGGACATGTCCAGAGGAGGGACAGTGGGTATACTGGTAGAAGGATGTTAGAAATGCAGCTGCTGGAAAAAGACACAGAGGAGACATATGGATGTAGTTAGAGAGGACATGGAGGTAGATGGAGTGAGGACAGAGGAGGAGGAGGACAGAGTGAGATGGAGGAGGAGGACTCGCTGTGGAGACCCTGAAGAGGGAAAAGCTGAAAGAAGGAGAAGTAAGTAAGTAAGTAAACTTTATTTATATAGCACTTATCATAGATACAATCAAAGTGCTGTACAACAAGAATAAATAAAGGCTTAAAATAAAACAAAAATAAAAACAGCTCATTAATAAAAACAGCAAAACATTTAACTAAAAGCTTGTCAAAATAAAAATGTCTTGAGCTGTGTTTTAAAAGAATCAACAGAGACGGTCACACGAAGAGACAGGGGCAGGGCATTCCACCGCGTTTTAAACCGGGTCTTAGGAACCTTAAGAAGGTTCAGCGCTGAAGGGATCAACATTTAAGTGATGTACTGGGGGGCCTGTCCAGCTGTAAAAGTCAAGACCAAATTTTTTTAATTAATTCTAAATTCAACAGGCAGCCAATGAAGAGACGACAGAACTGGTGTAATGTGAGACCTTCTATTAGTTCCTGTTAAAAGCCTCGCAGCAGCGTTCTGGACCAACTGGAGACGAGCGACGGCAGTACTTGTATATATGCATTAGTTGTGTATATATACATTTTTTCTCATTCAACCTTTATTTATACAGGGTAGCCTTAATGAGCCACGAGGACTCATTTACAAGAAGGACCTGTTAACAGGTCCAATTAAAATCCACCCAGTAGTTTGTTAGATATTTTTCAAAACAAATGAACAAACAAGCACACACAGAAACACATGCAAAAACTGTGCCAGCAGCCAATCACTTTTCAGGGCCAGTTAGCAGAACTTTATCAGTCTTCATAAGTTTGACATAGCCACTGCACACCTGGAAAAGTTGATGGCTAATAATGGATCGTGGACGTCATCAGTCTCCAGGTGCTGTGCCATGATGGACTGCATCTTTATCAGACTCCTGGTGGTTGCCTGCTCCTCAGTCACAGCATCTGTTGGACTATCTTCTTGGCTACAGAGACGTGACTGCACCGACTCCAGAAATAGCGTGTATAAACTCTTCCGCTCTGCATCTGAAATGCAATGCTTTAGAATTAGTTTGAACAAAAAAGGTTATGGGAAATTAAAAAGAACAACAAGTAAATGCAACCATAAACACAGACCTCTAGAGGATTCCTCTGATTTCTCAGTCTCCATACAATTCAGATTTTTGAGCAACTGCATGGACTTCCCGGCCATGATGATCTGCTTTAAGACAGGTTTGAGGAAGGACACCATGGTGAGCTGCTTGTTGGAGCTCTGCTCTCCTCCTGAGCTCCAACTGGCTGCATCGTTCATCTTCTCCTCGTCCACCATCTCTGACACACTGTACAGGGTGTACGTGGCATACCAGAAGTCCCTGTGGTTTACTGCGACATCCTTGTTTCTGTCCATGACAGACAAAACACACTCAGCTTTAAAATACTACAACATATTTCTTATAACACCTTCCTGACATACCTTTGGATGATGAACTCCTTGGCAGGGTCAAACAAATGGCCATGAACAATCCACTCATCCACAATTTCTAAATATGGCCTGACTGTTTCTGTCCATAAAGAAAACAGCAGAGCCACCTGAAGAGCAAAGAATCATCACTCAGGAACATTTCTCTGCTAACATCCATAAACCCCACAGCACATGCAGAGCACAACCCCCTCACCGTTTGTTCTGAAGCTTCTCCACCGCTGTCATACTCTATGATAGCCTTGTAGAGGATGTTGAGCAAGTGAGAGGCCCGCACAACATTCGGCGTGGCAGGTGGAACTTCAGCCACTCCTGTGCAGAAAACTTTGTGCAGCACTTTGATCTGAGCCAAGTGAGGACCGAGTCGCTCCAGAACAGCAGACAAGGTCATCGTCTCATCTGCAACATGACGACAACTCGTCAAACGCTGGCTCAACTAGAGAATCCCATCCAGCAGGTTACACACCCATCAACAAGCTATTAGTAACGAACAAACACCTTGCATAGCATTTGACCTTAATTTGAGACATGATCTTGAAGCAGGGGCAATGAAAAGCGTATGTGACACTGTCTACTGACAATACCGATGTGCATCAAGTTTTATTAAATTACCTTGAGCGGATCAGAAGAACGTTTATGGACATACGGACGACTTTACCATAATACGTCCTGCCTTTGACACAAGTATAAAAAAATACCCTAAAAATCACTTTAATCGAATCAGTAGACACATTAAACAAGTGACATTAACACTCTTGATTTAGATTTACATCATCTATATGTGATAGGAACGGTTGGCAATTTAAAAATAAAGAGCATTTTGAAATCCTTTTTAAGCAGCTTATTCTAAATGCAACTTATAAGCACTGCACCGACATTTACTTTGCCCTATGAACTCGTCTACAAACACGTGTTGATCAAAGAAAAGAAAAGTGTAGAGTGAGTGCTGAGAGTTTAAAATGCTGGACAACAACATGTTGTTTCTCTGAGGTCCAGTCAAAGGCAGGTTTTATGACAAGAACCTGTTGCAGTTTTCAAAGAGTACACTTTGCTAACTGCTAACTATGCTAGCAAGACTTTCTGCGATGGTGATTTTTTAAAGAAACATGGTAAAACCAGAGCAGGTCTGTTGTGTCCGGAGGGCCAAGACAAGTTAGAAAATATGAGTTTATCACGCAGGACTGGGACTCGCCTTGTGGAACTGACTGATGAAGATTTAACAAAATAAGCTACAAGGCAGAGAGTCCTTTAAGTTACGGTTTACTGGATGAAAGTAATAAAGGACACTGCTCATCTATTTTATTTTATTTAATCTGCGGGATTAACAACAGTTTTGAGATAATGGAGGTGTTTTTGACCCTGGAGTCTCTGAAAGGAAAAACACGGAGAGATGATTTTTATAACGGTCTGCTGTCATGAGAGAATGAAGCTTCTGTGGAATAAAGTTGACACAACGGACAGATCACCAGAGTTAAGTGTAAAACATGTCGGGCTGCTGACAAGAATCCAGGATAAAGTGAAAGGAAAACCTGACCAGATGTTATTCTTCATCCATCAGGAATCACTGTAAGTCGTGTTTTGTGTGTGAAACTGTTGTGTGTGAATTATTGTCAGGTTCTCTGTTGTGATGCTGCACAGAGGAGCTGCAGGAGGAGCTGCAGGAGGAGCTGCACAGAGGAGCTGCACAGAGGAGCTGCACAGAGGAGCTGCAGGAGGAGCTGCAGGAGGAGCTGCACAGAGGAGCTGCACAGAGGAGCTGCACAGAGGAGCTGCAGGAGGAGCTGCAGGAGCAGCTGCAGGAGGAGCTGCAGGAGGAGCTGCAGGAGGAGCTGCAGGAGCAGCTGCAGGAGCAGCTGCAGGAGCAGCTGCAGGAGGAGCTGCACAGAGCAGCTGCACAGAGCAGCTGCACAGAGGAGCTGCACAGAGGAGCTGCACAGAGGAGCTGCACAGAGGAGCT